TCATTAGAGGTAGGAGATAAGGGAATAGGAAAGAAAATGCAACTAAATCTTATTGAGACCTACATGATTCAATGTATTGCTCCATATCTTTCTATTCCTACAAACTTTCTTGCCCCACTCCATCAAATCAGAATTCCTTCTATTTCCTCCCTTCCTCTCAACGCAACCTTTGCTCATCCTTCCTACGTTCCTTCTGTGAATTCATCCCCATACCTTGTTTCTTTATGATGAGACCTCAATGTGCTTCATATTGTGTGTAACATTGTCAGTGTACAAAAGGAACAGAACTTGCCCCCCCCCCCCATCCCTCTTGAAAAAGGGGGCAGAAGCTCACTCTGGTAGAAAACTGCCATTTTCACTACTTCTGACATTCATTCTTCACAGCAAGCCATATGCCTTCTACCAGGACTTACAGGTCTTAAAAGTTCTCCCTCCATTTCCCCATCTTTAGGAAACTGTTGTGGATGAGGAAGATAGAGAACAATTTTGTGGAAGACTTTTTGAAACAACAATCATTGACTTCCAGCTGATAAAAGGAGAGGAACAGAGAAGAATAGAAAGGAAGGTCTTTTATAAGGATTTTGAAGGCAGAAACACTGCCCTAGTCAATTGCAAGGGGCTGGATTTTCCCTGCCTCTCGTCAATTTTATTCTGTTTGTTAATGGTGAGCAATACTTCTTTCTTTTCAGCAAGGAACTATGTGAAATGGGGAACTGAACCTGGTCCCCATCATGTTTCCGAGATCAGGGAGAGGTGTCCTACAAATAAACCCACCTCCCATTTCAGCCATAGCAATGCTTTTTGCCAAGATGCACAGACTCGTCTACCTGCTACAGTTTTTCATCATCACTTGCAGCTCTTCACTCTATTTACCTTGCCAAATACAACCCCCCTGGTCTTCAGTACATTAACTTTCAGATTAGTGTTTTATCAGACAATATTCAAATATTCCCTGCAAATCATTCAGATTGTCAGCCAACTACTGGTCATCACTTGCAAACTGCACACAGAAAGGTGCACACAAAACACCAGGAGTGCAGCAAAGATACACACAAACCCCACCGCAGCTTCTTTTCAGCCGGTTCTCCCCCAGTGATGCTTATGCAGAAGGGCACTCACGCATAGCTATCCTGGTCGCTCAGCTGGTGCATCTAATAATCTAATTACGTGGACTGAGCACCCTGGACGCGTGTTTAACTCAGTTAAAGTGACTTGAACTGACAACACACTAGGGTACAACAGATAAAGAAAGATTAAACAAACTCAGCCATCCAGTTACGGCATTTCCAAGTAGGACTGGGAAAGATGCTCCCCTGAGGCCCTGAAGAGCAAAGGATTCCTCCCAAATTTCACTGCAGAAGAGACCTTTGAAAGAAATACCCTGACTGAACCTTATCGTTGAAGCCTAGGACTAAAATAATCATCTATGGATGTGACTGCTTGTTGGAGTGCTTACCTTACACCTCCGTCTAAGCTTAAATCCTCCAGGTGTAAACATTTATTTCAGAAGGTCCATAACCACCCAAGGACCATGTCCTCCAAGGAATACAACCTCAGGTAAGT